TGAAATTTAATGAATACTAATGCTGTTGTCCATTATTAGAGACTTAACATATCTTTTCTTCAAAAGAGAAGAAAGGCCTTACATCCAGTTCACAAATATGACTGCAGTGAAATCAAATTAAAAGACAGGAGTTTATCAGTATATGTAAAGAAAATAACAAGAATTACTTTTGAATTAGTCAACCTATGGCAGTGTACATTTGTCCAGTGAAATTTTCCTGTAGGTGCATTGTTCAAAGGTAACACATGTGGTTTTTCTATCACATGATCAAGTTAACAGAATATCCAGCTGCGAATCCAAGTTAATTACAGTCATTAAGTCAAAGTTATTTTCCACTGGATTTATCTGCTTTTAATTGTGATTTGTTTTTATTATTACTTGACTGTCATAGAAAAAAAGGGTTGAATTTAAAAAAACTTGGTCGATAATATGTCTCCAAGGGTAGTAGGAGTAAACATCAAGATAGTGCATGAGACTTGGTTGATTATCAGAAGCATTCCCAACAGCCTACTTCAGGCCTTCATTAAAAGCTGCTCGAAGTGGCTAGATACTGAAGATGAAACGGGCTAGTGGCCGGAAAAAATAAGCATCAAGAAACTCTGGCAGATAACGAACTGACCAAGAACCTGTTAACCAGAAAATAAGCAGACTGAAATGAAGATGAATTGAATATAGTTTGTGGAGACGCTCGAATGAAATCACACATCAGATAGACCATTAAGTGGGAGACAAACGTGATGTGACAGCTGGGGCATCTGGGAGTGGGGTAGAAATGAAAACTTATGAGCAGTTGTGGAGTTAATTATAGGTGATGGTGGGAAACCGAGTTCAATGAATCTGTGTCGCTGAAGCCTCATCTTCGACTCAAAACCCAACTAATTAATAACAATTACATTCGAAATAGTTGGTTTTTCCATTCAGCACTAAACAGTGCTGCATGTATATATAAATACATAATATATATTATAATGCTAAATATGTATTAGTAAATGTGCTGGGTAAAAACAGCTTGGAAACAGAGTTGTCGATTACAAGTTTAGCGATCACTGAGTCATCTAAAAAAGCCTAGAATGTGGTTAACCGCATTACACAATGCTATGGGAATGCATTTAATCTTTATCTGGGAAACAGATTTACCTCACTGCTGTTAAGGAGATGAATACTACTGATTGAAATTTGAATCACTTTTGTCCTTGTTATTTAAAATAACACTAAATTATAGTTTGTTGGGAATAGAAAATAGCTACTTATTGTATCTAATGTATTGTACTCTTCATTCGGTTATTTCACTGAAGAACTCCCAGAAGCTTTTATTCAGTCTTCAGTGTCACATACTGAAAAGCATATAGATGTAGACATGAAAAAATGATACAACTGGAAGAGGTAATACTCTTAAAAAATGCAAACCCACTTTACATATCTACGTTTATTTACCTTGTAAAATTATTCAAGAAATCGGTTCTCTTAATTCTCAGAATCCGTACAGAACAATTTAGGTTTAAGAGGGTGCCATTTCGTGCGTATTTTAAGCAGTATTGAGTTCGCGACTTTCAAGTAACAGGTTCGTAACAGAAGAAGTACCCATTTGCTTATAGCGCTGAGATTATTTTTCTACGTCAAAAAATAATTGTTTATCGCCTCCGGCAAGAAGTTGTACTTGTTTTCAAATTACTTCATCCGCATATTTTGTCATAATGCTGCATTTATTTTTGGGATTCACTGAATACATAATGATTTTATAAATGCTTTTACCAGAGAACCTCTTGCAAACTAGTCGTAGTTGCCATATGAGTTCAACTTATTTATTACTTGTTAATCAGCTTAGGGATGTATGATTGAAAAATATCCTGAGTTTCAGTGAATGTCTTTTCATTTCAAACGAATAACCCTATGTTTTACTGAAAAAGTATATCATATTGTTATAAAATTAGAATACCAGAGATTTAATGTCTCGTAAGACATTACGCCATCTTTTGTCATTTACCTTTAATTATTCACCGTGTATTACGGTATACCTTGTGACAAGCGAATTATAACTTAGCCGTGATACCACTTCGATGAAGATGTGACAACTCTGGTTTCAATTCTGTACGACACTACAGCTGCCAATTGATAAAAATACTCCCATCAAGGGGGAACAGGTTTTTGACGCTATATTTCAATATCTGAAGATCTTTAGTTCACTAAAATTTGAGATAAAATCTCCACACTGACAAAATCTGAATACCAATAAACTTCGTATTCATTGTACCTGAACAGCATATATCTATAAAATACAAACTAAGATACAGTTTCAATGGTGCAAAAATTACAAATGTATCAAATAAAGGCAATTTGTAAAAAGGTAGAAGCAATTATGTTAAGAAGGCCCAGGTATGTGGTATGTAATTTATATTATCGTTTCAAAAGATGACAATATCGTTATTCTGTACTCCTAGGTGCTTTTATTTGGTCGCATATGAATTATTTATTAATACAGGCGGTAATAGTCTATTTTAAAAAAACTGCTGTATAGCATACACAAGATAATATTGTAGCGTTTTACGATTAATGACTCAACATAAATCAGTTACACTGTTAATATCAGGATAATTCATTATCAGATCTACTGAATTAGTGCTTATTCCATTGGTTTACTATTTCACTAGCTCTAAATCTGAACCTTCAGATATGTTATAATTCATTCATTATTCATTTCATTATAATTTATAAAGCGGATGTTGTGCAATTCAAGTTGGTAAAATTCACTTTTGTAAATTAATACTAATAACGTGAGGCAATTTTAGTCTGTACTACATAATTTTGTCAAATGTATGTCGTTTATTCAACTGGCTCTTAGATCCTTCCTGAGATAATTTCCTAGATTTCATTTACTTATGTTCCACCTTTTTTTGCCTTTACGTTCCCAAGGGAACATAGGGCTTCAAGCTAGAGGGTTGAAGTTTCAGTAGCAGTGGCGTTTACTTCTACGGGATGAGGTTGCTAGCCTCATGCCCAACCTTCCCTCTTTAACAGTTTATCACTGGCTCAGCCAGGTAAAGGAGTGCTTTGGCTAGGGATCGAACCCTACACCATATGAGTGGTTGGTGAGCATTCTACCGTTGTGCTACCGACTCACTATGTTCAACCTAATTCAGATATTTTGTTACTAAAGTGTAAACTAAATACACTTTTAGGAGTGATTTTTCTTAGATAATATCGATTTTAATGATAAAAAAACAGGTATTTTAGCAAAGAGTCTCTTTTCGGCGAATTCATTTTCCTAGCTGTACAATCACAGATATATATCGGTTATTTTGTATATATGTGAACATCAAGTTTGTCAAACAAAATACAATTGGTTATGGTTAATTAAACTAAACAGGTGAGAATTAGTAAGTTTTGGATGGAGTCACATAATACGAAAATGGTCAAGAAAATTGTGTGTTAACGAAACTATTGTAGTAACAAAGGTGATGAGTTGTCATAAACAGTTGTTAAAAAGGAGTTATGTAATGATATGAATAGTTTGATGTTTGAGTTGTACCCAGGATGCACATAGGAACCAAGTAGAAAATACGAAGTTATGTAAGAGTTGTAAATGATTACAAGAATTACAAGCAATTAAAGAATCACGCAAACAAACAAAATTAAGTCATCAAAAATCAACAAAGTTGTCGCCACGATAATAGAAGTGGTTGAGCAATACGGTTTCTTCTTCTTTGTATCGTTGAAGATCTGGCCATTCACACAAGAAAATCAGACTCTGTAGATTACTTTGAAGTAGGCGTTTGTTGAGATGGAATGATCAGTGTTAACGAGGTGTTCAATTATCGTACTCCTTACAGCACCACTATTGCTTTTTCGCAGCCATGCTGGATAGTGTTCTTGAATCTCCTTGGACAGGATGCATGTCGAATGATTGATGTACCCGGCTCCAGAGCAGCAGTTGAACTGATTTTGTCTTCTTAGAGTCAAATTGAACTCACCTATAAAAATGGCCAACAAATTCTGTCAAGTTGCACTAAACCTTGGACTTATATTTAAACACAGAAGTAAAGCATGTGAAAAAATCTTTTTGATATTTTCGTTTGCGCATGATTTGGGAAGAAAAATATAGTTTTCTTCTTACTGATTAAGGTTATTTACCAAAAATAGTGTTCCAATGAATCTCACAAAATTTCTGTTTATTTCCCTCCAGTAGAAATACGTTTGCTACGAGTAATTTTCTCCCTTCCCTTTTAATTATTCTGAACAACTAAATATGTTTATTTTCAACTACAAATCTCGAATACCTTAGTAACACCTTCTGTAATGCATAGGTTTTCGTCTTTCCACCACCAACATACAATTTTATGGAGGAAAAGCCGTTAATTCAGTAATTCAGTTATTCCGCGTCTGAAGAATAAACAGACAGCTAATAAAACCTAATTTTTGTTAATATTTTGTTATACTCAAGCAAAACAACTGCGTGAGAAAAAACATCATAATCAGCTAACGATTCAAGCGATTACCTATATAAAGTTTCATGGAGGTCATTCTAAAGGTTTTCGTTAAACTCATTCTGTTAAAGTTATTAAAGTTAGTGACAAATAAAATTCAGAGTAGTAGGAGTTTATGTAACATCTAAGTTACTGCTAGAAAAGAAGCTTTCGTTGGCTGGTTATAGAAATTAAATCACCTTAAAATGAGTGTAATATGATTTCTTAATGTTGATGAACTAAAATAACCAAATTATCACGGGGCAGAATGATAATGTGAAAGGTTTTGAAAGGTGAAAATATATGTCATTCTCATTCTAAACAACCGTAAATGAACTCTATAATGGACGTCAAAAGCTAAGATGCGATAGTGTGGTTTTTTCCCCAATGAAGAAACAGGATAAAGGAAAAAAGGATAACGCAGTGATCTAACATGGTAATAAACGGTCGACTAAAATGTTCTACAATTTGAGTTTTTTGAATCAATAATTTTCTCATATTCAAATATGTTTAACGTTGACCATTCACTTTTATTTTTAGGTACTCGGATTACTGAAAACAAAATCAGATTTGGCTATGATATGAATATCTTTCCTGAGGCAACATCAATTCCTTGTACATAATCTTGCAGAAAATAAATTCGTCTTAGAAGCCAACTGAACTAGAATGAATGTCAGTCAACATAATCAAGAAGTACTGACCCCGTTCGTTCTAAATTTGTTCATACTTAATAAAAGTTCAGAATGCAAAAAGATGGAATCACAGCCTGTCCTTGACATTGTTAGAGCCTATTGGACTATGGTCCTGATATTAGGCCCATTAAACACTATACTGAATGGATTATGTATCTACATCTTTAATCATACTGCATGGAAGAAATCAGTTATGAGCAAAATATTGAAAGGTCTTTCAATCATTGAATTTGGAATGGGATTTAGTTTATTTATCAATGCGGTAACTTCAATCATAAACATAAGTAAAGAGAATGTAGTCATGAATATGATTTCAAAAAATGATGGACAAAACAAGTTACAGAAACAGTTTAATGATAATTACATAGAAGAACATAAAGATGACTACGTAACAGCAATATGCATATTTTTTATTACAACAGTGTGCAGTCGAATTTTAGCAGTATTTCAAATATCACGAAACTGGTCAGTCGTTTTACTTGCAGCCTATCGTTATGATCAAATCTGTCGACCACTTGGCACACCAAGTTCATTTCCACGTGAACGTATGCGTTACATATTATGGGCTATATTTACGCTAGCCTGTTTAGTTATCATACCAAGAATATTTGAATCCAGTGTAGTTGTTTGCTATACATCAGGGATTGTTTCAAGAGAAATTCCTCTACTGCTCAGTTATAAACTTTATCAAATCTTGTACTTAGGAATAATTATGTTCATTGTACAATCTGGTGGACCAGTAATCTGTGTTTGTGTTTTAAGCGCTTTTGTTATAAGAGTTATAGCGAAACGCAGAAAATTTCATCGAGAAAAAGAAAAAAGGTCAGCAAGAAATTTATTAAGACGTCAAACAATTGAAACGGAGGCTAGTCAAGCAAATCCCAATGCTTCTGTACACAGTAAAACTAATGATAATCATCATTCACAACAGCGTAATTCTAATGGTCTAACACTAGAGTTGAATGAAAGACCAGCACCATCTGGTGACAAATTAATGTTCGCTGTATGCATTACATTCTTTGTATTAGAAACACCGGCATTTTTCAGTAAAATACTAAATCCATATTTGGAGAAAGACTATCCATTAGTTGATATGACAGTATCGGTGATTGCGAATTTATTGATCTATTTAGATTCAACATTGAATGCATTTGTTTATATGGCGTCAAATCCCTTATTCCGTAAAATTGCTCGAGAAGAGTGTATACACTTTCGTGATCGTTTTTGTTGTTTCAAAAAGACGAAACCACCTCTTTTGAATAAAAATAGTCGTCTTTTAGAAAACGAATCGATCACAGCAGCAACAAACTTCTGAACTTCTGATGCATTATGTTTACATAAATAAAATTATTTAGCGTTGTACAAATCCTTTTGTTGTATAGTTGTATAGTTCTTTTCAGTCTTCTTGTTTGTCTTCTAAAAATAATATTTAAAAAAGTTATATAATATGGGTGTATTTATCATACAGTTGTAAATGAGTTTGGATAGCTTCTGACTACGGGCATGCACTGCATACCAGTGAAATATGAAAAATCCTGATTATACACCTTTTTAATATATATTTATTAACCCAGTCTCTAAAACAATTAAAATCAATCTGTTGAACTTAAAACATATATAAATCTGCTGTAAACTCTGAGACTAGAAGTCCCAATGCCAATGAACTCTCTATTTGACACTGTAGAGAGTTAGATTATCATTTCACAGAGTCCCATAAACAAATTTAAACAATTAGACAGAGGAGAAAAATTTTGTGAATAAAGATTCTTTTCTGTTGTCTTTTGTGAACAGAATTTTTTCAAATGTCAATCGTTTATGTCTTAAACTATGTCCCTCAAGAGTGAAAAACTTTTAAATCTTTGTATTTTACAACATTATTAATAAACTTTGCATAATGTATACTACTTCGTTTTAGATCATTGTACTAAACATTTTGAAATGATAATTATGGGTTTCATAAACATACCTTAAGATTTATTGTTTTATAATAACTTCGAAGTTATTGTAACTAATGCCGGTTTTTAGACGCTTCTATGATTGTCAATGCTTGAAGAATAAGTTTTCTTATGTTGTCATTAATGATCACTTAATTCCAAGAAAGCAGGATAATCGACATATTTACCAATATATGTGAAGAGATTCACCACCACTGCAATCTCTTCGCCTTAGTTTACGTGTTTTAAAAGTTGTACTGTACAAAATAAAGCAAGATGAATTCTTAAGCAGTACGAATTATTGCTTTTAGGGTGAACAACAAGCTGTGTGGTCAAAAAGAAACTGTTTATTTAGGTTTAATATTTTCTAAATCAGCATGACTTAACTTACACGTATGAAATCTAATTCTGACATGTTTCTTTCTACTAATATGAATAAATCGTTTAAATAACTTTAAACGGGAATTTGCATTAGTTTTATTATTAACTGTGGAAGTAAAATAATATAATAGTTTGACAAGGATAATTTTTAGTAAAGTAAACATTGTATTTTGAAGTAATTAAGAATGCGATATGGCAAACATGAAAAACAATCGAAAGATGATAAAGTACCTTAGTTGACTTTCCATCGATATATATATATATATATATATACATATTACACTCAGTGTCAAAGACGCATAGACTACAGCGATAAGGAAACAATTTTAAAATCAATAATTAATAGCGCAAATTTATTTTAAGACAGACAATTTATTCGAACAGGTTATTAATTTCTTTCCACAACTGTCATTTAAAATATATATATATTTATACAGAGAAAATAAAAAAATGTAATGCCAAAGTTTGAATTGTCTTGATCACATGATTTTTCATTAATAAGGCAAAACAGTCCATTGATTTGCAAGAATCATTTGTCAAAATTAATAGCCAGTTTTATCTGGTGCACGCAGAATTTCACAACTTAAAAAAAACACCCACTCAATTACAGTCACCTATTTCGACTTTGTAATCTTCAACGTAATAAAGCAAAGTAAACAGAAAAGTGGTAGCTCAGTCACTCATTGCAAAAATGTACCTGTCTGGTTGAGTTAAGAAACAGTCAAGCTCAAAAATAGGTGAATTTTGCTTCAAGTAGTGGATGTCATATTAAACATCATATTAAACGAGAGCATCCATTCTTTCTGATATACCGAAGAGTTCAGCTACCTTTCCAGCTGGTAGTCAAAATAATAATAATCAATACCAGATCTCTACTTGCAGAATAAATATATTAAGCCAGTTAACCCGCAACAACGTCGATGCCTTTCAGAAAGGATCACTATACATAGTGGCATTATAAATTTAAATATCACATAAAAACAGCATCGTGATTGCAGATTTGGATGTTATCTTGAGTTCAGGAAGAAAATGTTCAAAACAGCATTGGTTCTAGAAAAAAATTTTGACACTGATTTAGAAAATAATTACGTCACAGAGTAATTTCATCTGATAAAATTCACAGTAATACAGTACTTTTTTAAATTGAATTTTAGATTTTTCCATCGACTGATTGGACCGAAGTGCTCGGTCTCAGGTTGACGTGTCGGCTTCTTGTGCAGCTGCTTCGACGATGTCTGGGCATTTAATTAGCATTTAATTTGTTGATGGCGACTAGCAATGAAATCCAGGATGAACATTTCGTCCTGTTTGGGACTCGTCAACTGGATGTACCTGCATTTCCCAGGGAGTGATGATGTTCCCACCGTTTCTTGTGCAATGGGTCATATTAATTTTAGAGGTGGCTCTCGTAGCCCAAGTGGTCTAGTGGATAACGCTTTGGCGTTTGAAACCATGGGCACTGGGTTCGAGCCTCGGCAGGAACATCATCACTCACTGGGAAATGCAGTACATTCAGTGACGAGTCCCAAATAGGACGAAATGCGCATCCTGAATTCCACTGCTAGTCACCATCCACAAATTAAATAGTAGTACAGTACTGTTTATATACTGGTGATGTTCTGAAGACAAATTACTTCTGTTATCGAAATGCTCACATAATATCTTCGAGGCATCGTATGTATATGTATAAAGTTCCATTATTTCTTGCACTATGACTTTGTTGGTAATACTGTACTCCATATCTCTGGCAAAATTTTCACTGCATTCCTATTTCACTGAGTTTAGTGTAGTTCCGATGAACCCAGATTCAGTGGTTAAAGTTTCCCATCACCTAAATATACTGCTTCCTAGATCTCAAGCTCTGTTCCACTGTATTATGTGCCTATGTGAAAGTGCATGCATTGCTGTTGGTGAGATTTTTTTACTGGGCTGGTCATCTTTCTTGGGTCAGTCATTTTACAGTTAGCCTAATTCCTGTGTTCTGAACACCTAACTGGATTGATCTACGTAGTTGACCCCAAAGTTATTGCGGGGTATTTTTTGGATTAATTACATAGTTCGTCCCTTAGTGAACTTCTATTTTTGAGTGCCAACCTAATTCAAACCTTACCAAAAATTTAGGCAAATGAGGATCTATATGAATATATGCATAAAACTACAGGCAACTGATTAGCTGAAATGAGTATTTGTATACCACTCACATCAACTAGCAAGGCTCGCTGGCCAGATTGAGGGGATCTAAACACCAGACGGCCGTTTCGCCCTTCTGTGGATGAGCTGTTTAGCAAAGTACCTGATCTGAATCAGCTGAGACAGCTGAACCAGTTCAGTCTACCCGATTTCTGGCTACCTACTTAAGTGGACTGCTAACACACATATCAGTTCGCAATTTCGCAAGTACTAGTAGTTGATGTAAGTGGTATACAACTACTCACCTCAATTAATCAGTATTAAATAAATTTATGCAAATGTGCTTGTTTTCTTCATAACCATTTACGGTATCAAGCAGATCACACATTGTGATCTGAATAATTATCGATTTCAAAGGAAACTACGGTGAAATTTGCCCCCCTCGAACTGTGTGAATTGCGAATCGCTAACTAATTTGTTAATTGTTTATCTGATTTATGGGAATATATGAATATAGTCTAGATTAACACAAAGTCAGACAATGGAGTGGTTAGAAACTCAGTTCTACAAAGTAATATAGTTGGGTGGAGGCGAAGATGTATCACTGAATATTTCTGGTGTTTGTCCATGTATACCTAAAGCTTGAACCATAAATAAATGGTGTAAAAGTAAACATTTCAGTGACTGAGTTTAGTCCTGTGAATAACTTTATAGGACAAATCGTTTGGGGTTGAACGAGTTAACTCAAAAAGGTGCTTACAGAGAGAAGACTTCGTCATCGTATATTCTCCCTTCATAAGATACGAAATAATGGAGCTATTAGGACGAATTGTGGAAGCATTTTTATACACCCTTTAATATGGCCGATAGTTGTGCTCTAGATGTGACGAGTAAAAAATACTTTGTCATTGTCTACTTTAGCAAACAAAAGTGTTCTACAACTGATCTTCTTAAAAACCCCAGCAGAATGTAATGCTGACTAGATTTTGTGCTTATTTATCAATATCCACTGCACTATTGATCTGATGAAGCGACAAAACATTTAGGAATCGAAGTCCTAAGTTTATGTTCAAAATCTGATAGTGATACACCTCAATATAGCTATAAGCCAGTAAAGTAAACAGTCAGCGAAAACACGAGTTCTCCTTTGAAGTGACTGATAAATAAGCATTTATGAATATCATATTTGATGATATCTGGGTTATTAAATTAGACCAGTGAGTAAATAAATCAGTTTTCAAACAAAATCCGTCGTTTGTTAACACTACTATTTAAACACCGGTAATTCACTTAAGTAGTATGAGTAAACAGAATTTAAAATATTGATCGTTATGGACTTATCGTAAGTGAAGCAGTCGGAGGAAAATAACTTTGTAATTAGTTATTTCATGGCACATTTCTCGCATACTTTTACCTGTATAAATCGTTAACAAAAATGTAAGTGTACTGATACACCTTGTGTCAAGTGCTGCCAACAGCCAGCTACGAAAAATTAATGGTCCTACTTAAAGAAACATGATGAGCGGATTTGGTGGTAAGTGGAACGTTAGTCAGTTCGATCTTCATTATTATGTATTATTAATGTGTATTTCATGAGTACACTGTGGAATGAACTCAGTATCTGCTTTTGTTGTTCATCTTTGCTTGGTTCTTCTTTTGCTTCATCATCCCTTTCACCTGTATTGGCTTCGTATTGGCAGTCCACCAGTAAGTAAAATGCTAATACAGATTTCTTTCTATATGATTTTTGGATGGTACGGTGTTTCTCTACTCGGGTTTCCTTGATGATATAGGACAAGCTTCTACAGCTGGGGAACAATAATTCGAAAAAGAAACCTAACTATATCTCTTGCTACTTGCATCCGACGCATCCGCAGCTCTGGAAGAAGAACTACACTTCCTGAAATAAATCTTCATACAAAACGGATATCCACCTAGATTCATAGACAAAAACATCAAACAGAAAATCCAAAAGCAATAGATGCCATCCATGCCAAAAAAGATATTTTAAACGAACCTCGACTTCAAAGGTGACCAACTCAGTGATGTTCTTAGGAGGAAAATTTCCACTTCTTTAAGAAGAACTTTCTTTGCTGCAAGATTGAGAATATTTCTTAATTAAGTTAGAGGAGAGTCCTAAATGACTGGTGCACTACAGTATCCTGACTTTTGTTTTCGTTTATGTGATAAAGATACAATCTACAAATTTAAGAATCTGATTAACACAATAAAAAGTTTGGTTAATTATGCTATCCATCTTAATGGGTTAGAGCTTAGGGTTCCTAAACAAGTTGAAATTAAAGTGGAAAGTCTTATACACCTAATAAATCATATTTGCACACAGGATGGGAGTATGTACTTGTGCATGGGTGGTTAAGTGGTAGAACTCTCACTCGACTGGACGCACTCCATAGCCTGTCTTAGCTTGCAGTAAACCCAGGTTGAGTGTGATGCTAGCAACTGCACCCTATAAAATATGAAGTGCATTGCTACTGAAACTTCGAAGCTCTATGTTCCACAATGGGTGCAGAAGAACTCTAAGTTTTAGTAAATTCTTTCAATCCAGAAAATACGACTAGATCAGAATTTCTGTAAGGTGAAGGTTTCTTTTCCAACTAATTTTTCGTCACACATTACCTTTTTAATGACTGCAAATAGTTTACTTTCACTGATACATGATTAGTCAGTGAACTTTTTGCATTTTA